TTGCAGATATTTTTCCAATTTTGCCAACACCATTTGTTAAAAAAGGCTGTTGTTTCCCCACTTCACTGATTTCATCTCCTTGTCAAAAATCAGTTAACCATAGATAGATGGGTTGATCTCTGGATTCTCAATTCTATTCCATTGATCTATGTGTCTGTCATGAGAACAAGGTTTCTAAGAGCCTAGCAGATGTTCCCTAAATATATGTCTTCTAATACCAATCAGGCTCTGGTGGCTTAATGATAAGAAGTTGAACTGCCAACCCAAAGGCATGTGGTTCAAATCCACCAGCTGTTCCATTGAAGAAAGATGAGCAATGTCCTCACGTGCAATGAACTGCCTCTGAAAACCTGATGGAGAGCAAGCCAAGAGTTGGTTCTGACTTGATGGCACATTACAAATAAGCACAAGAAGAATCACTATAAGGCCGTTTCTAGATGTTTTCAATACTGCTATCAAGCGTTGGTGATTGGACTGACCTACACATAAAGGAAAATAGTGCTTTTCGTACCATGCCTTTTAGGAATAAACTTCTACAAGGTTAGAATCTTGAATTCTATGTGATTCAATGGATAAAAAGTCTCTTAATTTTTAAAAAAATGAACAGTTATATCTACTCCATATCAATAGATCAACAAGTGAATGTCAAGCACATGAAATAAATTCAGTTTGGAAAATAGGAAAAACTTGCACTCCATATTTTTCTTTCTCACTTCTCTCTAAACTTGATGTCCTTCAGGCCAAGACTATTTCTTGCTTTGCAGCTGTTCATGGAGTCAATATGATGATTAATTAAGTTAGAGGATTTTGTCTTTATTGCTATCAACCAGTCAATTTTAAGGTAAAACCCTGAAGTAGGAATTGGACAATTTTGGAAGTTGCCATTGCTATTCGTTTTCTGTAAAGGTTTGTATTAGAATTTTCCTATTTAGAGTCTGTAGCTCTTAAGGGCCTGTGAAGAAAAGTGAGCAAAATATATGTGCTCCAAGGCTTTAAGGGTAGTGGACAAAATGGGTTAGTGTTACTGAGACACTTTATTCTAAAATTGATAGACCCTCTAGCACCCATTCCTCTCTCTTCCTATGGACCACACTCATGCCCTTTGGGAAGAAATGGCTGAGAAAAAATATTTTCTAATAGACTACTAAGTGAAAGGCCAGCTGTTTGAATACACCAGCTGCTTAGGGAAAACCATGAAGCTATCTCTTCCCCAGTGGACAGATAGTCTCCATGCGTCACACCAACAAGGCAGTGGGTTTGGTTTTGGTTTAATTTAGAACAATTAGTAAACAAACAGTCAACATAGCAAATCACTAAGACTTACAAACAAGCAAACAAATAAGCAAAACCAGATTTCAAATGGATTTGACTTATTGTAGTGTTACCTGGTAGACTCCTGTTTGTAGATGTCAATGATATTTTCTACCAGCAGGTTCCTTTGAAGTCCATATACTCCATGTCTGTCCAAAACAACTTCATGCCGACAGGATGGGCAACGGAAGCGGCCCCCAGATGCCACAGTAGTGCCTCCTCTGGTGGGCAGGTATGGGTTAGAGGCCTGTTCTTGCCAAATAAGAAGAGAATAGTTGAGTCACACTGCAGACCACTTTTCTGAGACTTTTCCCTCACTCTCTGTTTCTACAAACTGCATCAACTTTTACTTTAAGCACAACCACAAAATAATCCCTCAGGGCCTTACCAGGAAGCAGGCCTTAAACACACAGCCTACATTTATTGCTAGTCAACAGCAATGAGACATTTTCCATCTAAGATAACCTTCTATTCAAAGTTTTCATAACCAAATACACCAGCCAGAAGTCTCCACATTAATGTCTCGGTTTACAATTTGGAACCAGACTTGGTGGTTTAGTTTTTAAAAATCAATACTATTCTTAGTATTAAAATAAGACTAGATCCAAGAGATATGAAGGGGTCTGACAAAGAAGTATGAAGCAAATAGTTTTTAAAAGGTAAACTTTCTTGGAAAGTAGTGTAGCCTTTGAAAGCTTTCTAAAGGAATTCTCCTCAATGTTAAGCACTTGATTCACAGACAAGGGAGTCTTTCCCACTCCCCAATCCCAAAAAATTTACCTGGAAAATGTCACTGGCACACTTCCGGCACAGATTGTGCTGACAGGGGAGAATGACCACAGGCTTTGTGAACATCTCCAGGCAGATGGGGCAGATGAGCTGCTTCTCTAAGTTATCCATGGTCTGCTGCTCTTTGGAAAAAGACTTGTAGTTCAGAGAAGCACTCATCTCCTGACCGTGGGGGAGCACTGCAGGAAAGGGGTACTGTGGACCAGCTTCTGTGAGGGTTTCCTGGAAATAATTCCAAGGATTGTGTGATCAAGTGTCTGCTGAGACTTGATCGGTGGTGGACATTGTTTCAGAGTCTGGTTCCCAGTGGGTGCCTGAGCTGTTTTTAGCAGCTGGGCATCACGTGACAGTGGCAGACTTGTCCATATAAGCCAGTGACAGGAGGATGGATTCTGACAGGTGATGGAGAACAGAAGTCAACATTCCTGCCCCAGGGAGTACAGAGGGTGGGTGAGAAGGGGGATTACAAACCCCATTTAGACAGAGGTTGTGAGGAGGAGGAGTTTGATGCTAACATTTGTCTACAACAAATGCAAGTGTGCAAGCCGAGTAACGAGTAACGTAACGAGTAACGGAGCCCTCGCCTCTGTGAGCTCTCTCTCAGGAAGAACTTGCTGACGGTTCCTCTAGGAACACAACCCAGAGTCTCACTGTATCGTGAGAGTCATTGCGGTCTCAAGAGTTTAGGAATACTGTCACCGAAGTGTTTTATAGTAGCGCCTTCCTAGGAGCAAACAAAACTTAAATTTGAAACTCACTCTTCTGGTTTCACAAGGCAATCGTCTGAAAAAACTTGCTTGGTTTTAAGTATTTGATCTTCCTAAGGATTGTGATCCAGGAAAAGTTCCAACTGAATGCTGATTTTGCTATTCTTTCAATATAGATCTTCACACAGCGTGGGGAGGGAACAGGAATCTAACACCAAGTGACAATCGAATTATTTTTCAAAGTTACAGAGTAAAAGTTGAGCATGTTCTTGCCTTGTGTACATGGCTTTCATAATTCTCTAACCCTTTCTCCCCCACCATCATGCCATATACACACAAAAAATGCAAGGGCAGTTTGTCAGCCTTTAAAATATTTCCTTTTGTTTGCAGCAAATGAAGGGCAGGCCCATTCTTCTATCTTTCCATATAGCAGAGAACAGGTATGAGGGCCTTTAACACCTGAAGTGAAGATGGAGTCCTGCTTCTAATCTTGGGTTTTATTACGCTTCTAAAACACCTAACTTCTTTGATTTTTGCCTTTTCTTCCAAGTAGGTTTTTAAAAATATAGTTTCTAAATATAATCCACTCTACAACCCTCATTGCATGGGGAGGTGCGGGGGGGGGGATTGTGTACCAATGAGGGAGTTTTTCTTTTGCTTTTCAAGGAGAGGAGCAAATGGGGGGGAGGTGGGAGGGGTTTGTGCGGGGAGAAGGGTGCAACAATGAATGAATGAAATCCCAAAATCTCTGTAGATGTTCATTGAAATGAAAAATAAACAACCTAAATTTTAAAAAAATATAGTTTCTTGGGTCATTTCTGGTATTTTATGTTTGCTCTTGGATCATAAACATCAATTCTGGGATTTGCCAGTATGTTGTAAAACAATTGTTTAACGTAATTTATTTAAAAGTTTTGAAACCAAACAAAAATATTTTTTAATGATACCTTGTTGCTTGCAATAAGTTTTCTGCTTTATTTCTTCTTGTTTTTAAAGGCTCCAAACAACTAGTACATTTTATAGTTATATCCGTGTTGGACACTAAACTACCAGTCAAGGAGGGTCATGGTGACTGTGCTCTTAGTGCTGTGTGCACCATTTGAACTGAGCTGGGGATGAGTTGACCAGAACCCAACCAGATGAAGAGAAGCTGATTCATGCTGTGAGCTAGGGTTGATTGGTGCAAGCTGGTGGCTTACCCTCAACTGGACTTTGTGGATGCAGATGCTCAGAGTTTCCAAGTTGAAAGAGGGTCTTTCATTAAAAGGGATATGTTTGTTCCCTCAGAGTATTGGATTGATAAGGATAGGCCAATCAGAAATTGGCTACTTAAAGTGAGGATATTAAGGTACAGGGTATGAAGTAGCTGGCTTACACGCTTTGACGAACGTAGTTATTAATAAGATGATTGTAAGAGGGGAAATCCGCAAGATATAAGAGTAAAATATAATGTAAATAACTTACTGTTGGTTGTTTTCTATTTAAGCCTCTTGTTCAGAGTCAACAAGACCTCAGGAAGGTCTTTTTGTATTTAAACGTTGATTGTTATTAAACTTTGGAGGAACATTCTTCTAAGTAGCACAGCACTCTTCTATCAATACGCTGTACTGAGGTAACCAGGGTTTGCTGTGATGCTGAACCTTATGCTATTGGATTGTCAAATGGCATAATGTTTACCCATGGTGGACAGGGTTTGTTGGAGCTCCCATTTTAAGACAGGTTCGGAAGTAGGAGTGGCATCCACTTCCTAAACAACATGCTTTGGAAACTCTATGGACTTTGAGAAACAATGATAGTTGTAGAAAGGATTCCGGTCTTTTGTTAATATGGTTGCTATGAACCATGCTCAACTTGACAATATTAAAAAACAACAACAACAAATGAAAGATTGTATAAAAAAACAATGTTCCTGCATATAT